GTTTCCTGACCTGGTGTTAGGACATGAATTTTTGGAAAGAATGCAGTGGCAGCCATGGATGCATGAAACACTACCGACCACAGCGTAACACAGAAGCATCACAGAGACTTTAAAGAGAAGGTATGTCAAGCGTGGGAGAGAGGAGCTCAACCTGCAGCAGTGCAAAGAGATAGCTGTGTGACAAAATCAAACCTTTCTGCTGAAAGTAAACCTGTACAGTGTGCATTACTGCAATATTTATGTCTCTCAGCCACTCCTCATGAGTACGTGATGCTGGAGGAGGGAGGGAGGCAGGAGGAAGAACTACTGTATAGACAGCTATACTCCTTTATGTATGTACCACTGTGTATATTACTACCGGTCTTCCAAAATTGTCTGTCTGGATCATATTACTGTGTGCAATTTTAGTGCCACAAACCATTTTCTCCTTCCTTCTCCTGTCATACACACAAGCTTCAGGAGGCAAATGCTAGGTGAGAGGGGCATATTCCCCTGCCTCGCTCTTTTACTTGATACTCTCAGATTTAAGTCTGTGTAATGCCATAATACGAGATACGTGTTAATGGTGCCACTTACAGCCATCACCTTTTTTGTTAAATATTATCGTTTCTTAATTTGTAACCTAATTCTTTTTATTTTACATTTAATATGTAAGCAATTTTTATACTATTCAGCTGCATTGAGGAGAGAGATCTTTGTCCAGATCTTGTGTAATACAGCATGGAGAAGAAAAAGAGCTTCCAATGAGCAAGAGGGACTTAATACTCTTATTTAACATTTACACATTAGGGCCTTAAAACTGTAGCCAAACTAGGCCCAGTTGTGCTGAGGGGTTTCCTAATACATAGTAAATTGCAGCTCCTTTTACAGATGGCACGCCATCTATGAAAACACACAGGCTGACAAGAGAACAAGTGGGCTACAAGTGCACTGGGAATGCAGCATAGCAAATGTAAGGCAGTATGTCTAGTTTGTAGCCAGTCACAAAGATGAACATCATTCTTCACTTAATCCTCTGGTTTTGGGCTATACTTTATACAACTAAGGTGTGTTTGTTGAGTAGGGAAATCACAAGTCTCTGGAAAACTGTATTTTTTTCCCTATCTTTGTTGTACGCAAAAAATGGGATCTAGTATCTTCAACTGCACTGCAATGTCTCTGTCATTGGATGACGATATTGCACAATGAATTCACCCACAGTCTGAGCAGTGGGTTTTGTTCCTGATCTGGTCATACAGATGAGGCAGAAGCTGGTGCTCTGTTTACTAGTTAGCAATGTAAAAGCATTCTAAACCAAGTCCTCCAGGTGAACATAACATACGCTGTCCTTCAGAGAAAGCCTGGGACTTGCAATGCTCTGCTGAAGCTGTGGGATGAAAATTTGCACATTCTAGAAACCCTACTTCTAGTCCAAAGTTAATCATGTTCTCCAGTAGTTAATGTTCATTGTTAGCGTTCAGTGAAAGAAATCAACACTGAATCAGTAATTTCACCAGCAACAATAAAGTCTAGAGAGTGCAGATCCCGTCTGTCTTTCTTACCTTCTTGAGATTAAAAAATGATAAAATTTAGCAACATTATCCTTTCATTTTCTTTAACAGTGAGTTTTTTAACAACTTTTTTTTTTTTTTCCTTAACACTAATGGATGTATAGTTGCAGCCAGGAAAAAAAAAACACGACAGTTGTATTATAAAATATGCTGCTTACTTTGACAACTATTTATTTTAAGTGTATGAGGGATAGTAGATCTGTGGTTTGTTCATAGGACTAAGCATAAAAGTTTTGTCAAGTGGTTTGTTCCCGATTCCCTTTAGTTCCCTCTGTGGCAATGGACAACTCTTTCTACTATGCCGCCCTTTTCTTTTAGCTGTAAAACAGAACCAGTACTTTCCTTATAAAGGTAACATGAGAATTAGTTGAATCCAGTTCTGCTCTCGGATGCAGCTAAACAATTCCCTGAGCAGAACAGGAGTTACAAACATCCATCTAGGAAGGACAAACTCGGCAAAGGAATTTTAAAGGAAGTGCTTTGAATATGAAGAGCATCATATAAATGCTAAGCATCATTGTATTTATAACCAAAGAAAGAGTTTTTATGACTATACAGAAAGCCTGAACATTAACTAAAGAATCTGAAATGAAATATCGTAGCAAATGAAGTAACTTTCTACAGTACTTTCAGACAAACACATTAACCTCCTCTTGCCCACTTGCTTCAATCTGTTCTCAAGGGCCCTGCAAAGGAAAGTGCAGACCACCCATGTGCTCGCACTGTAACTTGCTCAGCACGTTCTGAACCCTAAAATGAGAACTTCAACATAATTATTTCTGAAAGAGATCTCGCTATATTCCGTACAGGATACAAGGGGGTTTTGGAAGACTTTCACCTTTTACTACTTTGCAATTTAGGAAAGCCAAATCTGATGTAATGAAATCCATCCTGTGAACACTCGTTTTATACTAAAATTGCCTATAACTTTAGAAGACATGCATATTAGCAGATGAACTAGATTCTACATACAGTGCCCAGACTACAGCATGGCCAAATACCTGCTGTCTCTGAAACAGAATGGCAAAATTCTTGTTTGATACAAATGGACCTAATGACCCATGTGTACTGTGGTTAATACTGTTACACATTAAGTTGTTTTGTGTTGTTGTGGTACACTAACTTGATTTAATATGCAGCAGGCAAACTGAACAATCTCGACGACTTTTTTGAATATGAGGTCTCAACTTTAGGCCTTACATTTCAAAATGCTGGTGGCAGCACCTGGAATTTCATTCCTCCTAACAACAGTTGAAGTCAAAACCAAGTTATGATAGGATTGTCACCTAACAAAAAGCAACATATGTGGCAAGCTATTAATAAGAAAGTAGTAGCAAGCAGGGAGAAACCTACTCAGCAAACTCCAAAGATGCCTCAAGCATTTATGTACTCCATGGTTCTACAAAGACAGCATTTTGCCTATCAACAGAGAGAGTATTGCAAGAAATGGATATTGGAAACAGACTGGAATGCTCTAACCTGTTTATGCAGCTAATGTCATTAGACTGTGTGCAAATGTGTCAGTGTCTATGTATAATATTAACTACCTCACTCTGCATTTTCCAGGAAAAACATTTTGGCTTAGAGGTTTAATATTCCAAGGCTTTCTATTATTAATTTCATCTTTCCACTAGTCTTTTAAATTGACAAAATATTTCTCCTTCTAAGGGGCAAGATTTAGAAATTATCAAAAAATATATATTAAAAGACATATTGCAGGGTATGGATGAAATTTTATCCAAACCATGTTGCCTCAATTACTGCTTGTAATGTGAACCTTATGAGATCAGATCTTGGGGTTAATATGTAACAAATACAAACATACTGTGTTTCAGTTTTTTTCAATGGCTTTCCTGGTCTTCTCTGGAAAATAATGCTATGCCACTAATCAAAGCAAAATGTTTGTATGTACGTTTCCCTTACACTCCTCATTATGTTTTATGTTTTGTTGAAGTAAACCCACACGTAAGTCTATTTGTATAGCAGAATGTGTCCATTGTATTGTATCCATGTCAAAAATAAAAACAATACCAACAAAGAAAGCTCTTTAAATCTAAACATGTGGTTTTTGGATAAAAGCAGGTGACAGAAATTGCAAAAAGCAGTGATGAATCTGTCTTAAAAGCAACTCTGTTGCAAAGGACCACAATCTGCCATACTTGCTGAAGTAGAACAGTTCTTTGCTTCAGGAGCTCTTCTCTTGGACTACCTTGATGCAAGGTACATAATGACACTGCTTGGAATCCTGCCTCATTGAAATCAATGACAAATTGCTTTGGGGTTTCATTTGAGCCAGTATTTTTTAAACTAGTATGAAATACATAGAGCAAAACTGACTTTAGAACGAATTGTAAAAACGCACAGTAAAAGCCAAACAAAATTGTAAGGAGCAAACAGAAATACTGCTAGTTCAAAGAGGAAAAAAGGAGATGGAAGTGAGAACTACATTTATTGTATGTAAAGAACTACATTTATTACAGATGCATTTTGAAGTATGAGCATGTTTGTCTCTGCTCGATGATATGGCCAGCTGATGAATGGATGTGCTTACTTGAGTCAGATCGAGTGCATGTCCCCCAAATCTGGCTCAAGCGCAACTACTGGAAGCCTCGTTTTAGAAACGGAGGCACAGTAGGAAAAGGTAAAGAGAGAACTGTTGACTGGCCTGCAAATTAGGAATCGCAGGACACCAAAGGTGCTTCCCTGTGTCCTGAAAGAAATACTGTTTTCCCAGGACAGATGCACTAGTTCTCACTGCCAAAATACATAGCTGTTCCCAAGCCAGACCCAAATCGTTTCTTCACCAACATAACATTTCATATATGTCTCCATGCTGTGGAGTTGCTGCTTGCCCTGCAGCTGGTTACATGAAAGCATAAACAGGAACATAAACTTCCCAGACAATGTGGCTATAATGGGGGTCAGAAGCACTGGATATTAAGGTAGAAGTAAAAGGGGTTGGAGCTACCATATAAAGTATAAATAAGAAAATTCTATTCATTAGACTCTGAATCAGAGACCTTCAAAATTATGTCTTTAGTCTCCTGCTCCCTCTGCTGGACTCTATCCACTTTTCACTTCTCAGCCTTCTGGCTCTTTTTCTTCTAACTGAAATGTATGGACAATTAAACTACATGAAATAATGCACAGTTTATTGTAGTTTTATTATGTGATCCAAAGTTATTACTTTTTTATAAAATGACCAAGACACAATAAAATGAAATACTGTCAAGTAATCAAAAGAAAACATACTGTAAACACTGATTAATAAAAATTCCCAAAAGAAAATTACCCAATTAATGCCATTAACATTGTAGTAGAGGTATATGTTGTTTAAAACCTTTTCGTTAAAATGCAGACGTAGAACTTCTGACTAAATAAAGTAAATGACCTGAGTTGGAAAACAACCAGAAAAGCAAAGAGATACAGGCTTGCACCAATTCTTCTTTTCATTACGAAATGAGAATGAAGAAAAACATATCAACAAAAAAACCTCTCAGTCCAGACAGGCTTTGTTGCAGTTCAGTGCTCAGCCCCAGGGCAGGAATGAGGAAAGACTCCACGCAGGTCAAAAGCTCTGCTGAAGTCAAACAATTCTGCCTGTTGGCCCTTGGTCAACATGAGGTTCCTCAAACAGCCATGGAATGAGCTCTTGCTCGTGAGGCAGTTTTGCTTCACATCAGCTGAAAAACAAATGTGAAATATGTAGAATCTATTTCCAGTGAACTGAAACAATACGAAGATCCAGGTTATTATTCAACTGCTTCCTCTCCCTCACAAATGAGAGATAAAACCAGCACCTGAGGAGCACTGAGTTCCATTCATGTTTGGATGATCTGGGACATCCCACCACAGACAGCCACTGCCGCCTTCAAGTGTAATCCATACACTGGGATAACTTGCGCAGAGTTTGCAGAAATAATTTTTCCCGGGAGACAATGGGAGTATAAAAGAGGGGAAAACCGAGGAGAAAGCCACACTACATAGGTGTCTTCCGAGTTTAAATTGAAACTGGCAGAACATGAAGCAACAGCTGAGTTTGTACAGAGTCATGGACTCCATTGGCAAACCAAAACATGAGGTTGGTAGGGAGTCCAACTCTTTTTTCCTTACAACCTGTGAAACAACTCATTCCACTTCTGCAGCCTTCAACTAAATTGAGGAATAACTCTTCTTTGTGAACCATAATCTTTACAGATGGAGCACTGAAAGAACAATTAGTATCACATCAACCAATTTTTTTTTTTTTTTTAAAGTTTCACGAGATGTCGATAAGGCCGCTTTGGTATTGAAGGAAGACCAAATATTAATCAAGATCTGGTTAATTAGCATTAATTAATTTTTCATAAAGCACAAAAACCTTGTCTAACAGAAAGCTCTGTAACATTTCAAGCTATTATCCCTAAAGCTTTCCAAATATTTAAAAGCTGAGTTTGCCCTTCCGACCTCATCACTCTGTTTTCACACAAATGGAAATATCTAAACTCATAAACTCTAACAGCTGCTTCGGAGACAAATGTATATTGGCATTTTATGCTATGTTTAAAAGCGTTAAGATATTCAAAACCATAGGAAGCCTGCTCACTCTCAGTACTGATGTGTTCATTAAAAAGTATGCCTGCAGAAGTGCCAAACTCATGATGTTCGATATTCAATCCTCTTAATGAATACATTGTCTTGGCTCAAATTATCAACTAATGAGTTGCACAACTTCATTGAAAAGTAAATTAATTATATATATTTTTGGTGTTACTACCTTTTTATATTACCATCGTAGTATGATTGACAGACAGTTACTTCAGAAGGGAATTTGCACAGAACTAGGGAAATACATGTTCATCTGCAGCAGCTTGGCTTCTGCCTGCACAGCCTCGACATGAAACACCAGCAAAAATAAAGCAGAGAAGAGCACTACAGAAACCGTACTTAGATGATTATGAAGGAAAGCCTTAATATCAATTTGACTGCAAGAGAACCACACCTCAACATATACAGGCAGGGATGTTGTGAAGTCTGAAAGAGAACGTGAAAGCCAAACCATGTGAAGGAAATCCTCAGAAACTAAGGCGCAGGTTTCTGTAGGAAAGTGATACAAGTTCAGCTGATCTTGTCAACACACTCAACAGCTAAATGCAGTCCTCCACAAAGACAGTATGCACAAATATTTATATGCCGTGATCTCAGCAACAACGTGGAAAATGGTAACTATAACTCGATCATGAACTTCATGAATCAGAGAATGGAGGGGGAGATAGATAGCACGCAAGGGAAATGGGGTGGAAGGGAGAAGGTGGGGGAAGCAGAGAGCACGTGTGTTAAGAGTCATTCTTATGAGAAAGAGTGAGAGCAGGACGGAGAGAAGGGAAGAGAAATATTATTGTACCTACCCGGATAGCCTCCAACATAAATGGGATTATTTGTATCAGCAGATGTTGACTGGATGTAGGGATTATCAGTTTGAGCCAAATTCCCATCAATTATCAGTGAAATGCTATGTTTGCTTTTGTTTGCTTGAAGCTTATGCCATTTTCCATCACACAAACTATTTGTGCCTCTTGGTTCATACGTAGCTGTTATTCTGCCAGCTCCATTGTTGACATGGAATAAGACCTGTAAAAACAGCCAGATGCCAATAAAGATATAAAGTAAGAATACGTGAACTAATTTGCCTAGATAAAAAGCACAATCATGCTGGTGCAGAGATTTCTGTTTTAATAAATGTTTGGTAATTATGCAAAGCTAATTTTTACTTTGATGGATAGAGTGTGTCCTTATCGAAGTATCTTTAAAATCTAAAAGATTCAGATCTATCCATGCAATGGTCTGTTGGGTTAGCTTGGTATACTTCATTTGGTATTTCAATGTTTCTTACAAATACAAATCATTTTCTCACAGAAGCTGAGACTTCAAATCTGAAGAATATCCACTGTATCTAACTGAAGAGAAGGAGAATGGACTGAAAGCATTTGTCATTGCCAATACATGTATTGATTTATTGCATGTATTTATTTCTCAAAGCAATAGACATTTCCTCAAGTCTGGGGTGAGGATTAATATGTAAATATTAACTGAGAAAGTATGTCCCACAGAAACAATGATATTTAACCCTGTCTCTAGCTAGGAAGTTTTGAATAAAAAATGAGCTATTCCTGAGAAAAGGAAATACTTAAGAACAATCAAGTATACATTTTTTATGCAGGAGATGAGTGAAGAACTATGTATTGATTGTTAAAAGGTTTATGGAGCATGATGTCCAGTAGAAGTAGAGAGTGACTTAAATGCTCATGAATATTGAAGGGATTACAAAACAGGGTGCTTTGTACATGCAATAGGTTTATCAAGGACAAGCACAGCTCTATGGTGGAAAAAGCATTAAGCTACAAAAAAGGTCTATATTTGGTCTAACATAAAAGGTATGTAGTACAGGAGGTCACAGTGGCTGCAGATTAACAGAAATTACACTAATTAAAGAGGCAAAAAGTTCCAGTGACTTCTGCTAATCTCACATTTTATCATATGATGATGATGAGAAACCTTGCGACCGAAAGCCTGCCCCATACTAGTTCTTTGGGGATTTGATTTGGACATTTTGCCTCCTTCCTATTTCACTGGTGTCTATTTAGTGTTACCCAACAGTTCTAGCCTCCCAGTTTTAAGCAAGCCTCATGAAATGAGTGTGCCAGCACAGGACAGCCTACCTTGCCATTTACAATCTCCAGTCCAATAGCATCAACCTTAGCACTGCTGACCCCAAGCAGAATGCCATGCACCGCTGTCGTACGAAACTCCAGTGTGATGTTCAAATCAGATCGGACTTTGTAACCTTCTCTGACTGAAAAGAAGTTATAAGCTTCTGAGAGAAGACTTCTAACCCACAGTACAAAGTAGAATACATACATTGTCACTGAAGGCCTAAAAAGCTTGTTAATTACTCTGCCAGAATAGGACCTTGTAGAACCTCTGAAATTTAAGTTTTCCAAAGTCATAATCCACATTTTATACTGGAAAAAATAAATTCCCAAGTTATCTTTCATTAATTTAGATTTAATACAGTCTATCTTATTTGTAAGAAATGGTAAAGAGCACATATTCTAATGCAATCCTTCATATTACTTCATGAGTACCCTATGTCTTTTGTCTCCGTACCCTTTAATAGACCTTAACTTAACATAATGAGCATGGATATTCTTAGCTGAAGAAAAAGGTAGTTCATTTCTTTCCCAGTGCTAGAATCATTAGTTCTTTCACTTGTGGAAGATAGCCCTTTCCAGAAATGTCCATTTTTGGACAAAGGGACTCAGCTAGAAATACATATGCAGGGAGGCACCCTTTGTGTGAAGGGTCAATTAATTACACACAGTTCCAGCAAGACCTAAAAAGTGTACGTTTTCATTAATTCAGTAAGGCACCGCTTTAATTTAATGACACTTACCAAGAGCAGCAAAGCCACTCCCATCAAAGAAAGTACCTTCCTGCACTGTTACATAGCATTTATTCACAGCAAAGATGGAGACAGGGCTCTCGTTGTCCAGTCGCTTGCTGTTAATTGTCATGCTACCAATGCAGGCAGAAATACTGTGAGTCACCTAAACATATTAAAATATAAGAATTAATGTGTAGCACAAACTGCTGCAATTCTCTCTTAGTGATTCACCTGGTGTTATTGTAAATAAAAAATTCTCTGAATAAAAACCAGCAGGATCTGAAATATTTATGTTATTACATTTCTACGTATTATATATACTTATATAAGGTACGTAATGCCAAAATAAATATTGTTTAGAAACACAGTATTCACTCTCTATAACATATAGTAAGAATTGTATTTGCCTGAATGTGAGCAGGGATACCTCCAACAGTTGGACATTCTAAACATACTTCAGCAAATTAACAAGTAAATCAAGATTTTGTAAGACATTGTGCAAGTATAGATCACCAGAGTTCTATCCAGCAAAGATTCATTAGAATTACTATTACTATTTTCAGCAATTACAGATTCAAAGTATTAAAATATTTGTTAGCCTCATTATCCAGTTATAAAGCATGGATGAAGAAACTATGCCCTGGAATTGAGAAACATTGTCGTTATCACCTGAATCCTCCCTGAGATAATGGGCTGCACAAGGAGGAAGGTGGCAAAAACCTACCCTCAAAAGCATATGTAAAAATTATGTTTTAATCTCAGACAGCTAAACCCAGCCCTTTCAGAGATATTTTAAGACAGCTAATTCCTATTTGAATACAATAGGACTTAGGTACCAAAATGTCTGAGATTCTAGGTCATATTTTTATCTTACACTGTGAAACACAGTAATTTATATTCTTTATCCATTTTTAACACAGGGATTGATAGAAAAAAATTTGTTACGGGCTATTACTAAAACACAAGGATACAAGCTCTAGCTAGGCTTGCTAAGCCATAGAAAGCTGGAAAGATTTATCCGGTAAAGGGTCATTACTTTCTATGTTGTTCCTTACCCTAAGTACTTTTTTGCCCCTGCCAGAGACTGAATTAGATGGGTTCGATACACTCATTCTAGTATTGCAAAATGTCAGAGACGCCCCAGCACCCCAAATCTTCTTACGTTCCCAAGATTCTTCGGCACGTAGTCTAATGGGAGTCCTCCCACATAGAGCTTCCCCTCCACATCCAAAGTGCTACCATCTCCCAGAGCACTGACTGCTACCAATTCCTGTCCATCCACAATGATTGTACCTTTTCTTTTAACATACTCCGTCTTTATCTGGAAAAAATGAGAGCATGCAAACATGAATCAGTAAGCTGAATCAGTTACTTAGTCATCATTTAGTCAAAGAAGCAAGACAATTTTACTGAGGCATCCTCTTGAAAGTCACTGTGAGGCTGAGGCCATTTCAGAACGCAACTGAGCAGCTAAACTGCTTCCTTACCTCCCCAAGGGCTCACAATGATTGCATGTTGTCCTGCCAAGTTTTTCAGTATCTTAACAATCATTATTTAAAACCACTAGTTCATTGCCTTAGGATATGAGTACATCACTGAGTTTGAAGAGGGGAGTACTGTGCTGGTCTTCTGCAGTTATTGTGCTGCCCACCAGCTGAGCCACCTTAGCTCTCTGAAGGGCACACTCCTACGCTATAATTTTATGATAGGCAGTGCTGAATTTGCTATGACAAAAAAGCTTTCCAGTTCTGTCCATCTTGTTCATTCATGCCCCTATGCCTTCCTTGCACTAAAGCAATTACTCATATGCAGATGATGGACTTTATTTGACATCAGCTAGCCATTTATTCTTCCTTACTTTTAGTCCCACTCAGAATCCCAACCAGGTTCAACACGAGGTTTCACAAACATTTGGGTTGCTAAGGGGATAAAAGTGGTACAGCAGGGTGATATGAGCAGATGGCAGAGAATGGAAAGAAGTGCTTCTTTCAGCAGCAATGCGTATTAGCTTGAACCGATTGCAGAGCTACTGCAATAATCACCCCCAGCTGTGAAATGGTGTGACTCAGTCTTAATCTCCAAAAAAAGGTTCAAGCTCATGTTTTTATGTCCTGGGTAGTAAAGGCAGATCAGTTCTCATATGGAACCTGTTCACCTCTTAACAAGTGGATACGGTGAGTATGAGTTTTATGTGAGTATATTTAATTTTAAACATGCAGCTGTAAATCCTGGAGTGATCGTCCTTTCAAGGTAGGCAGCACAGCTTAACTATGATATCTCTCTGACAGAAGTTCACATTTTCTTTCTTTATGTTAGTTTTTGCTGTTTTTTCTTCTGCTGATATATGAAAAGTAAAAATAACACTTTGCTGATTCCCAAGGCACCTAGGAGAGGTGGCAGCTTTGTGTCATCAATCATTTTGTCCCACAGAAGCCACTCTCTGGAGTTAAGGCTTCACATAAGGACAAGGGAAGGGAAGCTTAGCAGGATGAATATTGTCATGCTCACCTGCCTTAAGAAAAAGTAATACGGTCACAGTTACTTTTAAAACTCAAGCAGACATCATCACAGTCATTTCTCATGAAGAAAGCCAGAGCCAGCAGCAGGTGGGTTGCTCAGAGGAACTGGGCCAATAGAGGCCAACACAGAGTCTGGTACAGAACGCCCTGAATGCTACATGACAGCTGAAAGCTGTAGCTATAATTTCTCCTCAAACTCTCCGTATGCCAAGTCCTTCCCCTCCAGCGTCCATTCATTCCAAATGTCTACCTTTCTCATGTTGCATCAACCAAGGAAAGGAAAGAGAGTGCTTCCCTATTAGCACTAGCTGCTATGACATGCTCAGGTATTAAGTAATAAGTGGGAAAAAGGAGAAACTGTGCACCCACAAATCTTTCACCCTGTCACACACTCAGTTGCAGGTCTTTGGTGACATACTGCATGGAAAGCTCACTGTGGAAAAAGTCAGGCTTTCTAGACCTCTCTGCTGGGTTCTTCTCTGGTGAAGATTACCGTTATGACATAGTTGGTGAACTATTTTATTTCTAAATAATCTGAGGCACTTGACAGTAGTTGGATGCTGGAATCAAATAACTAATGAGAATTTTAAAGGCAAATAATTATACTTAAACACAAGTTAGCTGAATTGTTTCATGATGGGGTTAAAACCTGTTTGCCTCTGCAACACAGAAAGCGTACAAGGCAGGCAGGGAAAAATCACCCCAGTAACTCCCGGGAAGAGAAAATGGAGTACAAGATTGGTGACTACCTACCGTATGCCATTTTCCATCACTGATAACAGCAGGGTGAAAAGCTACTGCTTTTCCTTTGCCTAGATCAAATGAGAAATAGAGCTGTCCCCCATGAAGCTGTAGGGCTGCATAATCAACCTGGTTCTGGTGAGCCATGTAGTAAATCAGGCCACTGGAGGCAAAGGTTCTGAGATTCAGCTGGACAGAAAGTCTAGACAATAAAAATTCAGTGTTACTGAAAGATATTTCTTCTGCATTGATAAAAAGCTTTTCTGGAGGCAGAGAACAGCCTCAACCAATTTATTATTATGAAAGAAAATTTATTATTATAAAGGCCAGAAAAGTAGAATTTGTATTGATTCTAAGAAAGCATGACTTATAATGTATTTCATAATAGAAATCACTGCTGTACCTGTCAGAGACAGAAAAAGTGCTTGACACAAGAGTGAGCTGGACTTTAAGAGGGACAGGCTCAGCTGTTTGCAGCTTCGAGCTTGCTTATTGCCCCAGGAAAAGAACGAATTCCAGGATATTGTGGTGGCATCCATTACAATTAGCCAGGCTTGCTGGGATATAATGGGCAGACTGAGAACAGAGGGAGGCTTGAAAGGTAGAGCAGCTGATTGAGCCATTTATTATGGACACACTAGGTTCAGACTACATAGCATCGATCCTCTGCAATGTCCTTATGTTAAATAGTTACAACAGAAGGGCTAGAAGCAAAAAAGACTCTTTTCTCAATGCCTGCAGAGGCTTCCTGAGTTGAAAGAAGCATGAGCACGTGGCTTGCAGGCTGTGTTTTGGGGACCTTGTTGGGAGCCTCTCAAACAAGTAAGAGTGGCAGAGTGGCTACCACATGTTAAGTCTCAGCAGAATGAGTCTTCTCAGTAGTCTTAGCTCCTTCAGTGACCTGGGGAGTGAAGCAGACATGGAAGGTGCAATTGCAGAAAATCCAGAGGAAAGGATGAAATGTTATTTGCATCAGTCAAAGGAGCAGGGACCAGCTGAGCTCTGTGTGTGGAAAACAGACATCAAAATACTTACAGAAGATACAGTGGGGCTCTTAAGTCCGAGGGGGGGAAAAAAAAATGCAGAATTCTGACCATGAGTTAAACTCATTACCACAAACCTGAGAAAGACACATTAATTGCACTGTGGTGGTTGTGATACCTTCTTCCATGAGGAACCCAGAGAAACCTGAAGCAAGAACTATGCTCAAGGCTCGTAATGCAGTGATCATTCATTAAAACCATTATTGCACTTCTTGCAGCTCAATACAAGACAACACACTGCGTGTATGTGTGATTGAGGATATACTCACTTCTTCCTAACAGTAGACTGATTGAAAAGCAGTGTCAGGTGGCTGCCTTTGGCGAGTCCAAACTGATGGGCACCTTGAACATGATCAGGAAGCTCATCTTTTGTACAAACTACCTGTTAATGAAAGGACTTGATTAAGAAGAATAGTATCAGGTGCCAACAAGCAAGTGCTGAGTGGCAATGTGCCTACGCAGAACTTGGTAAGGAGCAAAACCGAGCCACATGAAAACACAAAATGTTTGTAGTTTGAGAAGCATTCATTCACCATTTGTCTTGATAGCCCTTTTGATAACAAAAGCTGGAAGACAGAGTACAACTTCAGTGCAAAAATCTTACAGACTTGGTAGAAATATTTTCCCATTTAGTGAGGATGCACATTTTTGTTATGATTTGGGGGATGGAGAGCTGAGTAACAGAGTATGAGCCAAAGCTATACTTTAGCTCTAAGAAGGACAGCTTATTTCTTTTTATAGCCACAGTTGTATGAAATGTGTAAAATCCTGCTTGCTGTTGCCACAGAAAAATTATTTCAGGATGCTTTGGAAACACTTCATTATAAAGATGTGCAGCTGCAGAAGGAGAGAAGTAATGCTGCCTTCTCTCTTGGGAACAGGGACTGTGTGAGAGGAAACAGGTGCCAAGCAAACTGCATTGAGACACTGTGTATCTCTGGAATGGTTTGTGCCTCCTCTCTGACACAGAGCGGTGACTGCATGTGTACGACCAGGAAAACGTGAATGCTGAATTGCACAGCTAATGCAAATCTCAGCACAGAGCTGCTTTGGCAAGAACACACTGAAGATTATAGTTACTGTCAAGTCCTTCTGCTGGGGGATTATCACTCCACTTTTTCTTCTCTTTTTTAGCGTTGCTGCCTGAACAATGATAAACACAACTAGATTTCCCTTCCAAAAGGCCAACAGGCTGCTACAAAGGTTTATATCACAGTTTTTCCATAAGAAATAATAATTTCAAATCCACATTCACTGAACCATGCCATACCATAGAAGAAGCACATATACACAGCCCATACTTCAAAAATTCTCCACAAAGCTAAAATGCATCTTGCTTTTGAACACTTTCCTAGAAGAGGCAACAGAGCTTTGCTGTAATACATACTTTTTTTGTATCTGTAAGAGGCCTCAGGGGAACTGGTAAAGTCTGAAGTTCGGATTGAATCTCAATGTCTTCTGGCTGTATGGCTGGTTTAGGCTTCTCTGACAAAAAGCAGCTGTCCATATCGACATGTTCATACTTCATGGAAGTGGTGAAATACAAAAGCCTGTGTTTTTAAAAAACCCACATTTGAAGAAATGAAATCCCAAATCCCTACATTTCCCAAGCACAAGGAGACTAATTTACAGGCTCTTACACTAGTAAAAGGAGAAAGGGAAAGAAGTGACATGCTGGGACAAAAAGATTGAGAAGTGACAAATAATCTGTCCATAAAACAATATTAATAGACAATATTCTTGGAAAACCATTCTGTCTGTGAATGCAGATGAAACTGTAGTAGAGAATTTTGTGCAGTGACTCTATACACATTAAAGATATTTTCAATTCTATTTGGAAATGTAGCTCTTAATATCTGTTTTCTGCCTGTTATAATACCCAGATCATCAGTACCATGCTTGTCTTATGTTAAAAACCAGGAAATTGGACAATGTAATGAAAAAGATTACAAACTACAATTAATAACTACTATACACAGTTTTCCAAAACAGGGCAGTTACCCCTCTGACTTACTCCTTGTTAAAAATGAGATTGCTGATACAGCCATGAAAAGAGCCAGCCATTTTTAGCCCTAAGATGCCCTCTCCTGCTGGAATGCCACCAGCATAGAAGTTGGTAATATTCAAGGGGCTCATTTCTGCCGATGAACCAAGCCTCAGTTCTGCAGGGTTACTTTCATCCACCTGTACAGTTATGATCCTGAAAAAGATAAAAGTCGGGAAAACATTCAACAAAGGCCTTAGACATTCATTTTCAAATGAAAAGCATTCCTTTTAGCCTCAAAAATGTCATGTTCTAAGAAATAAAGATTGTATCACTTTGATAATCCTTTCAAATGTCCTAAAACTAGAAGATCACCTTCTTTAGATAATTTTTAACATGTAGAGTTTTGTCAAATATCTTTCTAAATTATTTTTATAGGTATCTTTCCAATTTATTTTGATAGCTGTATTGTTGTCTTATACTATTTAGCATACTTTACTCACGTGGCCCAAGCTGTCTAAAGATTGAGACCTTTTAACTACAGCTTCATCAGTGGCTGTATGCTGTATACAATTACCATGTAAATCAGAACACCTCCATTAACAACAGAAAAACACAGCCCTGATTATTCCATATAATGAGCTAGCAAAGGCAGTTCCTCAGAGAGCGCAGTGAACTGACAACAGCATACAGTAATTAAACAGGTAGTACTGTTCACAGGCACATGTACCTCTTATTCCGGATTAGGATGACAGAGTGCTCTTGTCCATCACTGTATGTTCCATTAGCAGACTGAAGAATTACTTTTCTAGTACTTGCTCTATCTCCAGCATTAACATGCACTATAAGATGACCATCAATCAGCATGATGGAAAAGAAGGGCTGTGGATTTAATCAGAAGATTAATTTTTAACTATAACTCAATTTCCTGTCACTCATTCAGTGTTTAAATAAAACATACTTCGGAAAAATTTATCTCCAATTTTGTTGTAAACAAACTTTTTAATGAAACTCAAAGACTGGTAGGCACGTAGTGGTACCTCTCAGAGTGCAAAGCCTTCCAACAGAAAACATGAAAGATGGAAATTTCTCTGGTCATGCTAAAAATTCAGGTAAAATGCAGGAGTTTTTTTTTTTTACAACACTCCCCCTCTCTCTAGAGGAAGGAAATAAGAAGGGGCAGGTATTCCTACTAAGACTTTATTCTTGGATTCCAGGAGCTCCAAAACAGTCCACCAGATATGAGATACCTGTTCATCTCAAATCCTTCAATAACTTCTTCTGACTAGCAGAAGCTGAAAGTAATATTCTGTGTGCATTTCATGTGCAGTTTCCCTCCTTGTTGCAAAAGCATTTTTGGGTCCTAGTAACTGTAATAGGTCTCTACTAACTGATCCTTCACCTCTCCTCTGCTACAACCTCTGTTCCCCACCTAGCCTCTGCATTTGGGCCTTCCTGAGCCAAACAATTTTTTTATTTCTCATTCTTTGCAAGTTACAGTCATTAAAAACCTGACTTGATATTACAAAATCAAAATGGTAAAACCAAACCAAAACAAAAAACAAAACTTTGTTTTCAGTACTTGCCAAATGTGCTTGTCTACGTCGTCGCTTTTCCAGTCCCCTGCTGAGTCCAGCAAGGATGATGCCACTGCTGTTCTTTGTAGCAAAAGTTGCCATCAGTTCTGATTCTGGGCTTAAAGACTTAGGTACCAACTCAATATATCCATTATTCAAGATATTCACACTGCGAATAGGCTATTTTATAAGGAAGAGAAATAATTACCGACTTTGTCCCTACATAGCACCCAGTAAGCAAAAAAAAAAAAAAAAAAAAAAATTCAAGTACAGATTAGATTATCTTAGAATTTTTCAAGATAAACCCATTTCAACTCACTATATTCTTTCACAAACATTACTATTCATTGTTCAACAACAATAAACATCAGGTCACAAAACCTAAAAGTCTCCTACCTCCAATACACAGCCTTTTCTTACTCCATATGAATTTCTAAGCAAGTCAAAGGTTGAACGGGATATTTCCAGATTCTTGATGCATCCCACATACATTCTACTATTAAGACCTTTCCTGAAACACAAAACAAAGCTTTTTTTCCAAAGAGTAGTATATGGAATCTCCTGGGAGAAATGATTAAGTTCTCTTCAGTAAGAGATCTGTTTTAAAGGGTGTAGTCAGCCCAGTGTAAGTGAAAACATGGTAATTTGGGTTTTATTCTTAGCAAATATTAATCTGATCTTAAAGAGTCAGATAACATTGTCCCCAAATGGAAACATTCAAGTGTGTAGTGCTGTGTTACCAGGCCAGGTAATTTTCCAAAACTTTAAGGTGAATTTTTAGCTGAAATGTAATGATTTTTATGTGAGAGGGTGACTATAGCTTTCTACTCCCTGGCAATTCTTTTTAATTTCTTAAGTCTGAAGGATGCCTAATTTGGTTCCAGGTTTAAGTCAGAGAAATCTAAGGCTGTCCTGCCATAATCCCTTACAGGCTCCTTTGCCAGCTAAGATTAACAAATCTGCACCTCTGCAATAACTGCACAGAGACCAATATTGTCCTGGAATTTACCTTATTGTCAAGAGCATGCAGACAGTTTAATTAGATTTTCTTTCACCATGTTTATCCTTTCAAAGTGAAGCCACTGGAAGAAATGTGACTTTATAACTTCAGCAAAGATGTGTAATACAAAAGGTATAAACTAGAGAAATTCTATAAAATATATATTCATAACGGTTTTGTTGACCTGTTCACAATTGTTCCTCCTCTGTTCCAAGTTTCAAAACTGAATTACAAGAATTCCTTTCTGAAGTAGAACTTCTATGCTGAAGTTCAGTTTTGCCCATAAATGCCAGCTGGAAAACACAAGGCTCAGACAGGTAGAGATCAAAGGAGCATTGTTCCAGGCAGCAGTGCAGAACGCTTGCTGCAGTCTGACACAAAGAACAGGCGGCTGCTCTGGCAGCTGCTGTCGTAGAAATCACCCACAGAGGGGAAAAACAGAAGCTTGTCTCTGATCTGAACTGCAGTGTGAGACCTACCAGCGAAAAGCACCGTATTAGAATTTGAAGGCAAGTGACAGGTAATTCAGTGGTATACAGAATTATATTAGATATATTATGGCCATAAACTAAAATTCAGACTTCACTGATTTTCACTAATTTCAGTGGAGATCGCAGAGTTTGTTAAAATCTTTCCCTCTACTTACAAGGGTCTTAGTAAAGAGGGAAAAGTGAAAGGACACTTTACCTCATAGTCCTCAATCTTGGCAGTCCACCAATGAAGATTGGGTCCTTATCAGAGCGGTGCAGGTCTGAGGCAACCCCAGGAGATTCTCCTTGCTTGGTTTCTTTATAATTAAGGTTATATGCATCCATGACTGACAAAATTCCTGCAAAGAAAAGAGAGTAAAGATCTGGAGAAGGACACCAATAACACATTCTTCCATTTTGGCAATCTTGTCTCTAATAAAGGAAAATGTATTCATTGACTCAAACATGTATGGACAATCTTCTTATTTTTTAAGGTGAGCCATTTATTGCACTTCCAGCTATTCTGTTAATCTCATTCATTCTCCTATGCCAAACCCAAATCTGGGCAAGTCTACAGGTAAATATATATTTGAGAATATGTTATAGCTATTAACATATATTATTTGTAACGCATTACTTCCAAAACATAGGCCCCAAAATACCATTGTACTAGCTACTATTAAAACACAGAAGAGAAAACATGATCCCTGATACACAGACTTGGACAAAGATCTTTCTCTTTACAGACTATTGTTATCTATTTGTCTGGCAGCTTCTGCACTACCTGCTCTTTATAAGACGTGCCAAACCAAGCACAAGGTTTTCACTGCTGTCCTTCTAAAAGCAAAGTAACGTAGGTGTGGCTGCTAAAGAAACTGCATTGGAAGTGACCAGATTTGGTTGCACTGATGATCACTGTGGCTGTCTTAGATATTTGTATTTGTAAATGTGAAGACGCCTGTTTTTTTCAGTCTATAGCCTACCTTGTTTCTTGTTCCGACTGAATGAAATTTTATACCATGTTCCATTGTTGTAACGATTTTCTGTTGTAAGAGCAAGTGGTCCTGAACCTAGATCAACAGTCAGTCTCACTTTGCCATCAACAAGCTCAAGGGACAAGAAATCTCTCTGAGAGGAGGGGGGAAAAAAAAAAGTGCAAACAACCAACAGATTAAATTCCTGAAAATAAAATCTTCCAAAAGGATGCATCCTTGGCAGGTTTGAGCTACTGTGTGAAAAAGCTTTGGTAACTCTTGTACTCAGACTATTTGTTAGGCCCAATACACTTATCTTTGCTATATTTAGCAAAATTAAGTTACATGTACCTCACAAGGATGTCTCTGTTTTGTTATTCTTAAATGAATCATCAGGCTTGATTACTCAGCAGAGGTAGGTTTAAATAACAAATGTAACATTTTCTTTTTTTTTATGAATTTGACTGTAATTCGATTTGATTGTTAGCATAATGATCAGACACTACAATGTTCTTTCTGCTAGAAGCAAAGAGCTTCTTCACACAGTATACTTTCTCAATTGAATTAAAAGTGCCCCCTCTGCACTGCAAAAACTTAAGTCAGATATTGTTGTACAACGTATTCAGGCAGTGAGTACATAACAAAGAAATGAATAATGCAGTGACTCTGAAACAATCTGCATCTAAACAAAGTTTTGTCCTCCTTCAGGAAAAGGAAACCACCAACTAAGCATGCGGTAAACTGGATGACATGACAATGCAGGTCTGGAGATGGGTCTAGGTTATACCGCTGTTGCAGGGAATTTTCTTTAATTTCAGTTTACTGAACTCCAATCTTCTGGATTTAATTCAATAAGTCTATTCAGTATAATACTGTCCTTCTGCAAGCTCAGTTCCAAAAGATTTTACATGCTGCAAAGGTTCCTCCAACTGAGCAAAACTAGTTTGTTGTCCTTACTGTTTCCTTCTCTTGCCTTTAGTTAAATAATCATTAATTTTAGTCTAGAATTAAAACAAACTATGGAGAATTCTTTAATTGTTTAATTTTGCCCTTAGTATATGTGCATATTCGCTCTAAAGAGTTCTCTTTAGGGTTCTTGTTTTTACTCCTTTGGCTTATGATGCTGATCACAGGTGATAATCTATGCAAAGATAATAATTTTTTTAATATACGTAAGCCGAAAAATAACAAAGAAGAAAGGAAGAAACCATCAAGTGATTTAAACACAGTTTTTGACACCTTAAGAATCTCATCTATTTCCTTACAGTGCCATTTGAAGCAAGATACAGAAGCAGCCCATTAGGTGAAAAGGTACTGAAAAATATTATTATCTGAGTCACTGTTGAGCGGAGTGCCTTCTCCACAAGTGAGTATCCACTGCCATCAAAATGGAATGAAGTGTCCTCATCCTGTGGGCTATGGAAGTAGAAAAGAGAGTTAAAAATGTTAACTGAAGGTTTGTGTTTTTCCAGTCATTTTTATATAAAATATAAGAAAAGTTATATCAGTTGATGCAGCCCCCAGGCAGTATGATTACAAAATGTGGAAAGAGACTTGAATCTTGATGTTATGAATAACTGAAGGATTCCAGCTAAAGGCCACATTCATATATATTCACAATATATGACTTAGCCATGGGGAATGACGTATACAAGATAAAAAAAATTTCTTCCCTGATGTATGAAAAAGACACAACAATTTCTTAAGGGAAAAAATAATTGTTACAACATACACTCTCTTACTTAAAACATGTCGTCCATATATCAAAATGCTTTGCATAATTGCACTTGCAATAACTGTTCTACTAGCGTCTTTCACTACTTGTAAAAAAATCCTTCATACAATCAAGCAGCACCCTCTGCTGTTTCTACATGAAACATTCTGCAAATGGTCAAGCATATTTCTTTTCAGTTCCTTAAACACAAAAATAGTACAGTCTGCAATCCCCTTTCATAATGATTACAAGAACAGTAGCAAGCTCAGTGGCTACAGTTTTGCTATGGATTTTTTTTTTTAATAAGAGTGCTTTACACTGTTTTTTATCCTATGAAAGAATAAATTGGTCTCGCTGGCAATTACTGGAAAGCAAACATTCCAAAATAGTTTGGTTCACTGGCAGTCCCTACTTTCAACACACAAAATACACCACAGCAATAGAACTACTCTGAAAAAGTGATTAATAAATGATATAATTCCATATAATGAAATTATTTGACACCACTGATACATTCAGATTAGTGTGTTCAGAACTGTAAGTTAATGATCAATGAAACACTGCAATTTGTCCGAGTTCATTATTTTTGTCTAACACAGAATGTAAATTACTCTAAATCTGTTTAAAAAAGAGAGAGAGAGAGACAAAATACCTTCCAAAACAGCCATTGCACTTGCCCTCTCTTTCCATGTAGTTCCAAAGACCAATAGATTTGCCATTCAGGGATGCCTCTCCCAAGCACCCTTTAAAATGGGTCACCTTAACAGCAGGCGATTTCTATAAGACAGGAAATACTTCCTGAATACAATTAATGTTAAGTACTCTGAAAAATATGCAGCCAAATTTTGCTTGGTTGTTTTCCTTGAACTCTAACTTTGTTAGATATAAATTGTAATAAAAGAACAACATGTTTTAGCATAACTATTAACAATTATAATTTAAATCATTATAGATTCGTTTTGCAGCAAGTAAAAGAGTAAAATACCTAAGTCCTTGACCTACTTACATGCCTCATGGCATGCATAACAACAGCAAACTAAAAGCAGCCATGGAAGAAGGAAACAAAACACAAACTAATTGTGCCTTATCTATGCATCATGTATGCACACACAGCCTGTCCTGATTAACACTAATGCAAAAATTTCCAAGGAAAATTAACTTCAGCATACTAGAACATCCTTAGAGCATCTTTGCTTTATGCTCAGAGTATCTGGCATTTCTTGATTAATTAACCAATTAATGCAATTATTTCTAAGTTAAAAGTATATCTCAAACATAAGAAAAACATTTTACAGAATGCTGATCTCATAATTTAACCTTGATTTGCCCTCCAAGTCCTCCAATAAACATTAGGGTTGATTTGTTAACATCCAGTATGCTGGCTGTCCCTGGAGAAGTTGCAGATTTAGATGACGGCTTCTGATTGGAGTTCATTTCCTCTATCCTGAGCGTACCTGTTTTTCCAAACCTGCCAAGTACAAATACTAATAGTTTCAGAAATCATCAGGCTTAATCAACACATACTATTGGCTCATCTTTTTAAGGACAAGAAAAAACTTGTCACTGGAAAACTCAGAAGATGGTTTGTGTTGTTTATGCCAAGTTCATTCACTAAGTAGCTGGACGTTTCTACAGTACAGCCATCTCATTTAAAAAAAAAAAAATCAATCTTCCTATCTAACATTCATGCCATTCTCATTTTAATTACCTGGTTGCATGTATTCTGTGCCATTTGTTGTTGTCAATTTGAAAATCAGGGTATTCCACTCTTGTTGATCCAGAGCCCAAATCCCAAAGAAGAGCTACCTTACCACGTCGCATCTCTACCGCGAGGAAGTCTGTCTGAAAAACAGCAGGACTTATTCTAATACATGGCATCGCACATGTAATTTCTGTTCTGTGTATTTTAACATGTAACATTGAGAGATGTTTCCAGATTCATGCGTCTATGAATCTATATAGGATTCATATGCTGGGAGTTGACTTTTAGCAAAATCAGTTCCAGTAAGTTTTTACTCATTTTTACTTCTAATGTAATCAAAAAAACCCAAGCTTATATACAAGTAGGTGAATGTTTTCTTTGCAGATATATAAAAACATGTGATGTACACACATATAGATATACAGAAACATGCACTTCTGAGTGTATGTGAAGTGACCTACCAGCCTGTGGAAAAAGTACTATCATATGATAGCGTGCCACAAGGAGCTAATAGCTGTGCATTTATTCACATTCCCTCTGTGATTACAGAGGGAAGGAAGAGGAAGGCAATGTGACAGTGAGCCATCATGTTCCTTTTCAAGTGGGTGGATACATCATGCTCATGAGGACCAAATTCAAGTACTTTGTGATACCAGGCAAATTGCTTGATATACTCCAGCATGCTATATGAAAGCATCACATAAAGTGATGCACTCCATGAGGTTAATGCACAGCATGGGAAAAGGAAGGCAGAGTTTCATGACATAACCAAGAGGGCAGTGCTAAAGAATCAGGTGGTTTTATTCTCTGCCTTTGAAGATCTCTGGAATAATCTAAGGCACAAAAATATTTCCTCCCCTAGTGAACACGTTTGTCTGCAAGGGGCTTCACTTTGATACTTAGTTTTAAGTCAAGTAGGAAAAAACATATATATGGTCATTTAAGACATCTGACTACCATCACCTTCAGTAAATGTACACCAGAAACTTACCTTTCCATTGCTACCCAGGTAGATTCAGCAGTTTTCACGTTGAGTGTTAAGGTGTTGTAATTTGTAGATGAAATTTGGGGTTGGTAGGCACGAATGCAATCTCTATCTGCTGATACCGCAACTTTAATCTGGTGGGGGAAAGGAAGAAATGGAATCTAAACAAGTCTCAGTGTACACAGCACATATTTCTGGAATATGTACTTAGCTTCTGACCAAAAAATGCAAACCTTTCTCCAAGACACTTTCATGCAATCTAAGTATTGCTACCCGGGTTAGATCTCAGCAAAGGTATCACTTGACAAAGAGATTCACAAATAAAAATTAATTAAATCTATCATAATTCACTCATTCAATTAGGAGATTTGAAGCCAGTAAACTATTCAAATACCTCAGAAAATAACAATAAATCTTGGGTCAGAAGCCCATGTATCAGTAAAAGCCACTGTAATAATACCAGAAAATACAGAAATTCAAAACCTTTAAAAAACAAAAAACACAAAACGTAATTTTTAGTCTATGTTGAGAGAAAAAAAATTGTAAAAAATCAAAAGGCAGACAGTCTACAATAATTCTGGCTATTTCAAAGTTTTACAACACAGTTTACATGATTATTTAAAAAATACATTTGGGAATGTATTACAAGTTAATTTTTTTTAAGATTAAGTGAAGATTTTTTCTGTTCATATTTCTATTGTCATACCACTAACTCCTTTGACCACTGTCTAGTATACTGGTAGGACATTGATTCAAGCTAAATGCAGCCAAGCTTCAAGGAGCTTGGTAGCGTAATGACAGAAAACCCACTGTAACGACAGAAAAGCCTTAACTTCATCAACTTCATTGAATATGCCTGTAACAGCTAAACACATAAAGCGCCGGTGTGCATATGCATATAGACAAGGATATATAGAGTTTCTCTCCACTAGTAAAAATTTACAAAGCAAGAGAACAAACTCTCAAAATTGGAAAAGGGGATTTTGCTAATACTTCTTTTCACCTTGCCAGGACCCTCTGTGGTTTATGACACTTCAGAAAATATTATTGCCTCTTTTCTGCAGTGGATTCATTAAGCTTCAGTAGACTGCGACAGAGAAGCAATAACCATATAATTAAGGAGATCTGCAGAAAGAACTGAAAGCCATTTATTTTTTAAAACAAAACCTTCCTAAACCTTGCAATAACATACCTATACTAAAGCCAAAGGCATACCAAAAATTACTGAGTGCAAAGTCATTTTCATATTCCCCTCACAGTTTAATGAGGTCCATAGTATAGTTGATTCCCTTTTGCTGTCTGTAAGGTGGGGAGCAGAGATTTAAAACCAAGTATATTATTTGTCTTAAAGTATTCTGGATGCATGGCAGCTTCTTGCAAAGAAGATTTGGACATGGCAGGGCATAGATGGTAAATTTATTGATAGAATCAACACTTTCTAAAAAAAAATTGTAAAGATACTTGATGTTATATAGAGGCACTCCACATCAATCTCTAAAGCAAGCTTAAAAATTAACATCTTCTCCTAAAAAGAAAGGCAGCACCATCCCCTACTTGTCCCTTTCTCACCAAATTACCTCTGTGATTGCTTTCCGGCATATTGTATTTCATTATTTTTATAGGAAACAAAAGTAAATAGTAAATAAATTACTGCCTTTCTGTTCTGTCAAACTCCCAAATGCATTAAGAAACTTGAAGCTAAAACTATAAAATGTACCAACAGCCCTTGCCAGTATACTTTTAGCATCAGTCAGTGCTCTTGGACTTCAGTGAGACCATGGAACAACCAGGTACTTCGACAATAAGTTTTAGGCTCTTTATCTCAAAGAACTTCCCTGTGAAAAGTGAAAGTGAAGCCAGTTAAGTCTGGGATGATAGAACTTACAGATGCTGCCTGCTTGCGGGCCTGGCTGATAAGCTCTTTAATTTCAGACAGGTTTCTGTTGAGGTTCTCCTCTAGCATTTTCAAAGGTTTCAGCCTATCCAATAAAATACTTGCTTGTGCTTCGACTTCTTTCACTTGTTTTTCAGCTGTGATTGCTGCCAAAACATAAATAAATTGTTGAGGCAGGCTGAAAGAGAAATGTACTGTTCATTGCTAAATACTTAGCCAAGTTGGTCTCTTTCTGATCATTTCGTTTTCAGCAATTTTAAACATCAGTAAGGAATATGCATACTTAAGGGTATTCCATGTGACTTATCAAGAGGTCTTTTAAAAAGTTAGCACATTTTTATTGAATTAGGAAGAAACTTTCAGCCCATCAGACCCATATTTAATGCCTATTAAACTTGAATTTTAGTATTGCTTCTGCAAGCACTGACATTTCTAAAAAGCAGTGAAGCAGCAAACTTACCAGCTTTGGATGAATCAGTTATAAGTTCACTAGTTTTCCTCAATGTGTCATTAACTTGGGACAATGCAGAAGAAGTATTCAGCAGCTTTTGACTGAAATCCCCAAAGTGGCTTAAACCCACCACAGCACTGGTGTTTGCAGACACAGCCAGCTCTTTCACCTCAAGCATATATTTCCTTGTACCTGAAACACAGTTCCCAGATTAAAATGAATTCACAGCTTTCATGGAAACTTGGGAGTAATAAATGCCTGGCTTCATAAAAACACAGTTACAAAACATAGTCAAAACACTAGAAATGCTGTCAGTTATGTTTCTTTCATAGTAAGAGTCATATTTTTGTTCGTTTGTATTCTTCAGTCTGTGAGGGGAGCTTCAAATCAAGACCTAATGTGATCTAACTTTGCTTAACTGTTGAATGCACCATTGCTTAGAGTGGGAACTTTACCTTCTGTGAAACTGGACTGCCAGGAGGGTGGTGCAACTCCTCTTGCCCAGTTATTAAGTTGGAAAATGGCCACAGCTATTGCTCTGAACAGAAAACATGGTAAATGCTCCCAAGCTGGTGATACAGATATCGATATAGCTATAGATGTAGTTATCTGTGTTCATACACACACACGTGTGTATATAATAATAAAATTACACACATATATAAATAATAAAATTTGCAGCAATTTTAATTAAGGCTCATCAGTTTAGATTAATACTTGATTAATCCCACTTTTGACTTCTAGGAAAAAGGTTTTATTTTTCATGACCAGCTCTGAATACAACGTAGACATGGAATGCAGTGATGGGGAACTTGATTTCTGCCTATCCCAATAGGACGATTATATGAATACATCAGGCCCATAATCTTTCAGTTCACTGAATGAGTGTTGCCACCCAGAGTCACTAGTCTGAGACAGAATCATTAAGGTTGGAAAGGACCTTCAAGATCATCAAGTCCAACCATCAACCCAACACCACCATGCCCCCTAAAACATGTCCTGAAACGCCACACCCACATGTTTTTTGAACATTTCCAGTGATGG